TAGAACTGTTCGAAAACGACGCTTGATTAAACTAATATCCGTTTTGGTAATTGTTTATTGTTCTTCTGACATATTAATCAATGGCGTAATCGGGTCGGGTTCGGTAGGGTTTTACTTTCTTCTTGTTTGGTTCTAATCTGCAATTTTCTGTTTGATTTGAACAGCGCTTCATTGGCATCGTTTACGAGAGAAACCGGGCCGAAGGTGGTGAGAGGGGATCCGGCGAGGAAATCGGAAACCGCCCAAGTTGCACATGCTGTGCACGATCACTACCACCACGCGCCGACGGCAATAAGCGTTAGTGACAGCTCTCTCAAGTTCACCCATATCCTTTACAATCTCTCCCCCGCAGGTTGGTTTTTGTCCGCTTCTCTTCTCCATCGCTTTCAAAATTTTCATTCCATTTCAGGGCAGATAGCTTTGTTTATTTCATGGGCCATCTATTTGTCAGGCTACCCATATTTTTTTTGGCCCAGTTTGGAATCTGGATTTTGTGCATAAGACGTTTTTTCTCCCCCTCTTTCTGCTGAAATTATTTATTACCTTTCTAAAAAGACGACAGAAACAAAAAGAAAGCAAAATATCTAAGCGCTTTACTTTACTTTGTGCAGAGCTTTACGAGCAGGCGATTAAGAATGAGAAAGGGTCATTCATCACGTCGACCGGCGCCTTGGCAACTCTCTCTGGTGCGAAAACCGGCCGATCTCCCAGGGATAAAAGAGTCGTCAGAGATGACACCACCGAGGACGATCTTTGGTGGGGAAAGTGAGTTTCGATCTGCCTCTATTTTCGTTTGGGTTTCTTCCCCCTCAATGGTTTTAATGATATCAATACTTCTATTTGGTTTTAGGGGTTCGCCAAACATTGAAATGGACGAGCATACTTTCATGGTCAACAGAGAAAGGGCTGTAGATTACCTCAACTCATTGGACAAGGTTAATTTTTATTTTAATATCTACATTTTTTAAAAAGTTTGTTTCCATTTAGATGAAACTATTTCATTGAAACCCTAAGTGGAAAGGTAAAATTGATAGTAACATATAAAACTATGAACAATAATTGAAGTCTTTGATTAGCCGTACACTACGAAGATGGAAAATCTGCATGTTTCTGAGATATTTGGAACCGAGAAATAGATGACGAAGCTAAAATTGTGATATGCAGGTGTTCGTGAATGATCAGTTCTTGAATTGGGACCCGGAGAACAGGATCAAAGTCCGTATCGTGTCTGCCAGAGCTTACCATTCACTGTTTATGCACAACATGTAAGTGAAATTACTGAACACTTCTTATCAGCAGTATATGTTTCTCTTGTCCCTTCCTCAAAGGTCCTAAGCCTAAGCCTGAGCCTGCCAGATAAGTCTCCTTAACGTTCATATGTTAAATTTACACATGTTTTGTATCATTGTCGAGCGGAAGAATAAACGGTAAAAAATGTACAATGGTGTATTAGCTTAGTGTGCAATTCGATAACTGGGTCGGTGACAGGTGTATCCGACCCACCCCCGAAGAGCTGGAGAATTTTGATACTCCGGACTTCACTATATACAATGCTGGGCAATTCCCGTGTAATCGTTACACTCACTACATGACATCCTCTACTAGCATAGATATTAACCTTTCTAGAAGGGAAATGGTCATCCTCGGCACTCAGTACGCCGGGGAAATGAAGAAAGGTCTATTCAGTGTTATGCATTATCTCATGCCTAAGCATCAAATCCTCTCCTTACATTCTGGCTGCAATATGGGAAGAGATGGAGACGTTGCCCTCTTCTTTGGACTCTCAGGTATAGTATCATTGGAGCCAGATGAGAATGGCTCCAACAGCCGCCATTAATGATATGTGCCCTCTTACCCTATCCATCCTTAACATATTATTTGTTTGATCTTAATCTTCAGAGTTAACTGCTTTGCACTATTTGCTTTCGAGTCTTTGACTGCCATTTTTAGGTCCTTATTACTCAATTGATTTGGTATTAGGTACTGGAAAGACAACATTGTCGACAGACCATAATAGGTATCTGATTGGGGATGATGAACATTGTTGGAGTGATAATGGTGTGTCGAATATTGAAGGAGGTTGCTACGCCAAGTGCATCGATCTCTCTAGAGAGAAAGAGCCAGACATTTGGAATGCCATTATATTTGGAACAGGTACTGTTTTTGTCATACCGTCTTTGTTCGACTAGGCAAACTCTAAGTTTTTGGTGTTTGATTACATCTATGATGCGATTGAATTATTTCCTTGGGTTTTTGGCAGTGCTTGAAAACGTGGTGTTTGATGAGCATACCCGAGAAGTCGATTATACTGACAAATCAGTTACAGGTATAAAAACACTTCAAATTGTTCTACTAGAGTTTTAGAAGTAATTTTAGATGTATGTCATCATACATGACTATAAATTTGAAAAGTATTATTAGAAAAGACCTCTTAAACTCACCTACTTGTATCACGTTTCTCCTTACGTGTTTGTTTATCTGGTTGCAGAGAACACAAGAGCTGCTTACCCCATTGAATACATTCCAAATGCTAAAATACCATGTGTTGGCCCGCACCCAAAGAATGTGATCCTATTGGCATGTGATGCATTTGGGGTGCTTCCACCGGTGAGCAAGCTGAGCCTAGCGCAGACCATGTATCATTTCATCAGTGGTTACACTGCACTGGTAAGTATACTCCATTTTCCTCATTAACAGAGTCTAGAGGTTTGTGTAGACTAGAAACATCAAGGCTAATACAACTAGTTGGATTGTATGTTTGTGAATAGGTGGCAGGCACGGAAGATGGCATCAAGGAGCCTCAGGCAACATTCTCGGCTTGTTTCGGGGCTGCCTTTATTATGTTACATCCAACGAAGTACGCAGCCATGCTAGCTGAGAAGATGCAGAAGCATGGTGCGACTGGATGGCTCGTCAACACCGGTTGGTCAGGTGGAAGGTATGCAGCCATATTCAGACACTCACTGAAAACATTCTCTAAAGAAAAGCTTATACATATTTTTGATCCGACAGGTATGGCCAAGGGAACCGCATCAAGCTACCTTACACAAGAAAGATCATCGATGCCATTCACTCTGGCCAACTTCTGAATGCGACGTACAGGAAAACCGAAGTATTTGGGCTCGACATTCCCACTGAAATCGATGGGGTGCCTTCAGAAATCTTGGATCCAGTGAACACGGTAAGTCGGCCTCTTCTCTAGCAAAACGAGTTAGATTCGACTACAAGTTGCTAACATTGCGCGTTATGGGATGCAATGCAGTGGTCAAATAAGAAGGCATACAAGGATACTTTGCTTCAGCTGGGTGGGTTGTTCAAGAAGAACTTTGAGACATTTACCAACTACAAGATTGGAAAGGACAGCAAGCTGACAGAGGAGATTCTCGCAGCTGGGCCAAATTACTAATGCAGAAGGGGAGAAGAAACTGGTAGACTGTTGTAAGTTATAAAAAGTGCGTTGGATGAATGTTTGTCTTTTAGGCTTTGTAGAAATTGGTCCTATAGTTTGTGATTAATTCCGGCATCGGAATGTTATAGATGGTGTGGTTCCTTTCGTGTTTACTTTCTCACAATGTGAGTAAGCTCTCATGCTCCCCATTTGGCTTAGTATTTGGGGAGTATTACATATGTACAAGTTTGAAATTTACATTTGAATAAAATTAATTTCCTATCTATTTAGCATTTCTATGAGAGATGAATGTTTTATTTTTTTTATCAATATTTTCATCGACGTTGAATGGTCTAAATAATGGTAAATTTAACCTAATATTTGTAAATATGAAATAATTTTTTGAAAAGTTTGTGTCAACAAATTTAACTAAATTTAACCTAATATTTGTAAATATGAAATAATTTTTGAAAAAGTTTGTGTCAACAAATTTAACTATTAATTGGTACTTACTCATTCTCGGAGAGATGTTATCTTAAAAATAATACAATACAATTATTTGTCTATTTTCCTTCATTTAAATGGTGAGCATTGTTCTTAAAATAACTAAATGGACAAAAAGAATAATTTTTCCTAAATATTATCGACTCGACACAGAACATGTTCTAAAAAGGAAAACAACAGAGAACATATCATTACAACCACAGAGAGCCAATGAATACAATTTCGACACATATTATGTGGACAACGACGTTTCTGACATTTTCTAATATTTTATTAAAAGAGGATTTAGGACTTTCATTCAATCGTGATATGCGAGGCCAATGACTTGAAGGGCCTTCTAAAGTCTACAACATTGAAATCATATCTTTCATATTCTTTTTATTATTATTTTGATAAATAGCTTTTTTTTTTAATTTTTAATTGTCTAATTTTCAAACCTATTTTATTTTAATCACTAAATTATTAAATATTCTACTTAATCTATAAACTTTAAATGATTTTATTTTACTTCTCTAATTTTTGCATAAAATTTTATTTCAGTTACTTTTAATCTCTTGTCAATTATTTAATTAAAATTTGATACCCTTGTATCTAATTATTTATGTTTTTTTTATCATGATTTACTGTAAATTAACAACAAATATTAAAATAAATTTGTATTATACAATCTAAATACTTTTTTTTTGAGAACTACCATTTAAATACTAAATAAAAGAAAAGATCGCAATAGCCACTAGTGAACTATACAAATCCCTCGCAAATTTATATTGAAATTGACCTTATAATAGTACATTCAAACTATAGATTTCAACAGTTATTTGAGGGAGTTCTAAATTTGAGTGTATTTAAAAAAAAATATCATCTGACAGTGGAGATTTCAATAAATATTTCAAAGTTAAAATTGGAAAAACAGAAAAGGAATAAAATAAGTTTAACCTTTTACAATATTCAATTTAATAAGTCACAGTCACGAGGAATTAAAAGGCCGGCCAATCATGGTCATGGAATCGGAATGGCAATATTGTAATATGAGGTGAAAATGGAGGTGAATATGGAGTCCAGATTATTAAGTCAAAACAGGAAAACCAGACAGTCACTTTTCGTTCAAAGTTCGTATCGGACTCGGAGTTCGTCTCCTCTTCTTCCTACTGTAGCTTCAAAATACAGAGTTCTATATTACCTAACTCATCCTCTTCATACATTCTACCTCGAATTGTCCTCCCTCCAATAATCATCCTCTGCAATTTGATTTTTCTCTCCACTATCTATACGCACGTTTCTCTGTTTCTGATTTTGCTTTTCAATCGTTTTCGCCGATCGCCGTTTGATGGGTTCTATATCGCACGCGATCGGTCCAAAAGTCGGTTTCCACCACCAGGTACCTCACTGTTCCCATGGACCATTCGGTTTCAATTTGAACAGTGATCAATTTTTGAGGCTGAGTTCGAGGAAGCATTTTGGGAGAATCCGCGCCTCTCTTGATGTTAAGGATGAGCACAAGAACCCAGCGATTGATTTTAGTGATCCTGATTGGAAATTGAAGTACCAGGCGGACTTTGAGAAGCGGTTCAATCTACCGCACATTACTGACGTTTTCGAAGACGCTATTCCTATTCCTTCTACTTTTTGTCTCAAGATGAGGTGCTGTTCCGTTTTGTTTTCCCCTTTGCTTTTGCTTTTCTCCCTTAGTTTCTGGTTACGGTTTCCTTATTTTGGCTTTGAATGTCGATTTTTACTATGCGTTTGAAATTGCAGGACACCAGTTTCGGACGTCTTTGCTGGAGGTTACCCGTCAGATGAAGAGTGGCATGGATACATAAATAATAACGATCGCGTACTTCTCAAGGTATTTTTACTGTCACTATTACGGTGAAATCTTTTGAATGTTGATTTGGTTTGTGTTCATCTACTTTGGACAGCGTATTGAAGGTTTTTCCTTAATTCGTTGACCATTTTCATTTTCTTTTCACTTTCAGCCTATCCTTCCTGATTATTAATTATGTTATGAATAATAACGAAGCTCTGTTGGATACTGATTTACTGATTTACAATATTCTAAACACTCCCTGGATGTTAGTTTGCCACATGAGATACCAGGGCTCGTTCTTTTGGCCTGTCTACAGTTACACTCTATAATTTGGCTGACAAGAAATTGTTCCCGCGAATCTTATGATGACATGCTATTATTCTTGTTGGAAGTGCTTTATGTAAACCCTTCATGGGCTTTTGTAATTTCACATATCAATGAAATTGTTTCTTCACCAAGAAACATTCTTGTTGAGAAATGTAGTTATGTACTCTTAAGTTTGGTTTTTTGTCAATTGCCCAGGTCATAAATTACTCATCGCCTAGGTCTGCCGGTGCTGAGTGCATTGACCCCAACTGTACTTGGGTAGAACAATGGTAAAATCTCCTTAAATTTGTAGTTATTAGCAATTGTCGAGGAGGAATGGGCGAAATTGAGCTGAAAGTTTTTACTGACTTTTTTCAGGACTTGAAGTTATTGTTAATTTTCTAGAAACCCTATAGTATAATAGATGCTTGAAGTTCAACTATGATATAAAAGAGAGAAGGTTAGAACTTAGACTGAAACCGTGAATAAATTAGGAGAATTATCTGCTAGGAGGGACACGTGATTTAATGGAAAAAAATGGAAAGAAGGGGAGGAAAAGAAAAAAAAAAAATATTTAAGAGTTCTGAGACACTATGGGTTGTTTAGCCTATCAAGGGGACTATAGGGCTTCATGAATTTGGAAAAGAATCTCTCGCATTCTTTTCTCAAATTAACTTATGCATTTAGATCATCGGTTGTCTGTGCATAATTTAAAAATTCTTATAGGGTTCATCGTGCTGGGCCTCGAGAGAAAATATACTTCCAACCGGAAGAAGTGAAAGCGGCAATTGTGACTTGTGGAGGTCTCTGTCCTGGTCTTAATGATGTTATCAGACAGGTTAACCTTTTTCTCTCTCTTTCTTTTTATTCTTTACTGGTGTCGGTGATGTTCTCAGACAGTTTATTTTCATTTCTATCATTGTTTATTAATTATTTTTTTGAACTTTAGTTTACATGGTTTTTTTGGGTGAAATCATTACATTAAGTAAATTTCATGTTTGGAAGTTATTACATCATTTATTTCTCAAAGAATATGCATTCTTTAGATTTTATATGTTTGGCTTGTATCAGGAGAGGCTTTTAGCATTCCTTCCTACATTCTCAAAGAATATGCATTCTTTTGCAGATTGTAATCACACTTGAAATTTATGGTGTAAAGAAGATAGTAGGGATTCCCTTTGGCTATCGTGGATTTTCTGACAAAGAACTGACTGAAATGCCAGTAAGTTGCTTTTCTGCAGGCATAGAGTTATACCGTAGAACCACTCGTCTTATAATAGCATTTGTTTTCACATGACAATATAGTTTTAGTTGGAAAAACGGCCTAAGCTATTTATAATTGACTCAGTGCTGGTGTTCATTCACAGCTATCTAGAAAGGTGGTTCAGAATATTCATCTTTCTGGGGGAAGTTTGTTAGGAGTTTCACGTGGAGGTCCTGGAATTAGCGAAATTGTGGACAGCTTGCAGGTCTCAAACAGATTCTCTTAATTTGATAACGTTGATTTTTTACTGGAAGTTCACCATTTGTAAATCATCGAGGCATATATCCTTTTGTTGGGCTGTCTTTTTGTATGCCTTTTGTTTTCTTTCATTCTTCATAATGAAAGCATGACTTTTCATTTAAAAAATCACTGAGGCATACATTAACTGTGATGCAGGAAAGGGGAATTGATATGCTTTTTGTCTTGGGTGGGAATGGCACACATGCTGGGGCTAATGCTATACACAATGAGGTACAACATAGCCTTTTCCAACACGACAGTTATATGTACTTGTCACTACTGACGTGCACAAGGTTATGAATTCGATTACTGTACCTTTTGTTGTGTTCTTTCTACAGGTTTATTGTAAAGGTTGATAATCTATTTGTTTGCATTAGAAATAATGCTCTGAACAATTTAATGATAATTTGAGTTTACCACACAAATTTATAGTATATTGAAATACTCCAATCCTATGCTTTACTCAATACTTTGAATTTATCTCATGTGTGTGTGTATGTTGGAATCTTTCACTTTTCGAGAACATGAATCCAATAGGCATTATATAGATGCCATAAAACAAATTCCGAAGTCGCATGAATTTGATTAGAATCAGTCTCAGTCTTTCTTCAGTCTTCATTCTCCTTTCGGAAAATGTGGTCTCGTTTCATAATTAGCAGGAGTTTGAAGCTAAGGTTTATTTAGGCTGTAAGACTATTATCAAAGTTTCATACATGCAGATAAGTAAGCAAAGCGATATCGCTTCTCAACTCAACGATTAATTTTAATCCACGTTTTGCACCTTTTCTCTTCACAGTGTAGCTTTATTTTTGGAGGTGTAAACTATTTGACTTGACTATTTTATGTTTTTTTAGTGTCGGAAAAGACGGTTAAAGGTGGCAGTGGTTGGTGTTCCAAAAACTATAGACAATGACATCTTATTGATGGATAAAACTTTTGGTTTTGATACTGCCGTTGAAGAAGCACAACGAGCAATAAACTCTGCCTACATTGAGGTAACGTCTATTTTCTGTTGTTGTATCATCACTGCTGCGTGCATGTGCAATTTTGTCTTCCTTGCATTATTTTCTCGTTTTGTAGTACTACTTCTCTTTCCCTTCTGATAGTTGTCATATAATGATCAATGACATTTAATTAATAATTCGGTGTAGGCACACAGTGCTTATCATGGAGTTGGCGTTGTGAAATTGATGGGTCGCAGCAGTGGATTTATAGCAATGCATGCATCACTTGCTAGTGGGCAGATTGACGTTTGCTTGATCCCTGAGGTATGAATCGAAATTTGAATTTCATGTTTAGTTTCTATTTTCTAGACGCTCTATTGATGTAACCATTTGCTTTTAAGGTACCTTTCCAACTACATGGGCCTCATGGTGTTCTACGCCATGTGAAATATCTTATAGAGACAAAGGGGTCTGCTGTCGTCTGTGTGGCTGAGGGAGCAGGGCAGGTAAGTTGATACTGTTATTTCTGTCTTTCATAGATAAAAAATTCATGAACTGCTTAAACTTTTTATGAATCTTATAATTTCCTTTTTACTTGTTTCTTTCCCAAATGATAAGAGTTAAATACTGATGATCTGCTTTAATTGCAGAATTTGTTACAAAAGACAAATGCCACTGATGCATCAGGAAACATTGTACTTGGTGATATTGGCGTATATATTCAACAAGAGGTCTGTAAATTTACCTTTCCATGTACATTAATGATCATGGTATTTGGGAGAATCTAAGTGCCCTTCTTACGTTGTACAAATCCTTGTTTGGCATGTGAGCAGTCGGTATTTTGAAAAGCGCACTTAGGCGTGCTTCACAGAAAGGCCCCTGGGCGACTTGCTTCATAGAAGCGAGGCACCCTTAATGAAGCGCGCTTCTGTGCTATAGGGCGCTTGAAGCCCTTCTTTT